ACGTTTATTTATTTTTGGGACAGAGAGAGACAGAGCATGAACGGGGGAGGGGCAGAGAGAGAGGGAGACACAGAATCGGAAACAGGCTCCAGGCTCTGAGCCATCAGCCCAGAGCCTGACGCGGGGCTCGAACTCACGGACCGCGAGATCGTGACCTGGCTGAAGTCGGACGCTTAACCGACTGCGCCACCCAGGCGCCCCCATTCTCTCTCATTTTAAACAGAACACAGTGAGCTTTGTGTGGTAAGCCATCAAGTTACATGTAGTTCAGCTTGATCCTTTCGAAGTTTGTTTTTTGATTTTATTAGGGTAAGGCTACAGTTGCCTTTGCTCTAAGACGAGTTTACACCCAGATATTCAGAAGACTCTGCCACTATAGCTGGTCAAAATGGAAACATTTCCTACCTGTGAGCATAAAGCTCTTGGGTCATTCTTTGCCCAGATGTATTGAGTTTCACTCTACCCATGTGCGGCTTAATACTTCAGTGAGGCCTCAAGAGGATTCTATGCTAACCTCCTGCGGCTCTTTCTCTGAGTGGCTTCCTGATTCTGATACTATAGTCTTCCCCTTCTCTCCAGCTGCCTTAGCCTCTCTGGAGGCCAAGTTCTGTCTCCTGACCTCAGCAAGACAGACATTCTCTGTTTGGGAGCTCCTACCGTGTACCACAGTCTAGGAAGGGAGTTGGGACAATCTGTACAGCTCATCTCACTGACTGCCTTCTCTCAGGGGTTGTAGTTCCTATCCTGCAATATCTGAAAAGATTTTTAAAAATTACATCTTGTTTAGTTTAGTTTAGTTTGTTTATGGCAGAAAAGGGAAGTCTGGGATCCTTTACTCACATCACTACTCTCTATACGTACATTTATAACTTTTTTCTCTTGTCATATTACTAACACGTTTTCATCAACACATGTACTTCTTCTACAGCATTATTTTTAATGGCTGAATACTGCTGTACCATATAAATGTGTGCAATCAATCCTATATTTCTAGGAATTTAAGGATTTCCAAAGTTTTATCACAAATAGCACTGTGATGAACATTTTCAAAGAATTTGGGGGTCAAAAGGCTTCCATATTTGTTAAGTTTTTGATATTGATAAAAATGTCGTCCAGAAAGATTCACACTCCCATTCACAGTGTGCAAAATTATATTTCTTTTAAATCTCTTTAGTGGAAAATCTGCCGCACTAATTGAACATTTTGGTGGGAAAGTAAACTATGTGATAAACATTGTGCTAAAAGGATGGGAACTTACAGATTAATAAAGACACGGATGCTGTAGAAAAGAAGTTCCAGTGCTTTCTGGAAGACATATGTAAAGAAATGATTACAGGACGATGTAATCAAGCTAGAATATGGGCGTGCGCTAAATACCAATGGTAAGGAGAACCTGGAAGGAACAGTGTAGCCAGTGTCTAAACTGAATATGAAAGGATGAAGAGTGGGGACATCACACAAGCCTAGGGAGCCCAGAGGGGAGAGGCGTCCCAACAAAGGGAACCGCACACGTGGAGGTGGTGAGGAGAGAAGCAGCGCTACCTGTTGAGAGGCGATTAAGGCACAGCTAAGGGATGTGCAGAACATAAGCTCGAAAGGTTTGCAGGGTCTACGTCATTGAGGCTTCTGTCGTGCTAAGGGGTTTTGATTTTATCGTACACAGGTGTGTACACAGGAAGCAGTATTTCAGTGACAGCTTGCAAGAGTCACCAGAAGCACTAAGTTTAGGGCAGAAACATTAGTTACTAGGTTATGACAGAAGACCAGGCTAAAGGTGATGGAATTCTGAAATAAGAAAATACATGGAGCAGACCGGTTGGCTTTTCAGGAGACAGAACCGATGGGCTTGAAAAGTGACGAGACTGAGGAACGAGGCAGATCTAAGCGTCAAAAGTGTTTCCTTTTGTCTAGGAAAACGGTCTAGCTTGGAAAATAGAGTGACCTGGTGATACCATTCATCAAGACTGGGAATACAGGAGACAGTCTAGGTTTGACCTGAGAAACAAACTTTTATTGAGAACTGGATATTCTACAAGATAAACAGACTCGATGTTATCATGGGTCAGCAGCATGAATTAACATGATCTCTCTGTCCAACTGCTAGATTTCAGACTAAAGCCCCCCAAGTTAGAGGTCTGATTTATCTTCTCAAGCAGTGACAAATCTGTGTTCCTACTTTTTATTTTATTGTGTCTCCAATCCTGTACTTTGGGGAATAAGCTGAGGGACTCCCTGAGCCTGCACTGATGAGTTAACAAGGCAGAAAGAATTACAAAGCCATAGGATGCTCACACCCAAGTATGGGTAAACAAGATTAGGTGAATAAGGATAGAGAAGGGGGGCAAAGGTCCCCAGAATAGAGGAGGGGGCAAAGGCCCCCAATACAAAGGTATATGAGGTAAGCAAGATAAGGTATTCAGGGCAAAAGGGCTCCCCAATTTAGTACTATAGCAGAAAGCTGCTTTCACAGGAAGGAAGGACCAAATTAGGTAAACAGGTAAATAGGGCTACAGACCTCTGTGCTGTGGGTGAAGCTGCCCAGAGGGGAGCTGATTAACAAAAGAAAGGTGTCTTGTTAACCCTGAGGTTATGTGCTCTATCTGTCTTATCCTCTAGGCTAGCCAAGATAAACAGACGCGGGACCTCCTGTCTGCCCTTAACAACCATCTACCCATCTGCCTGGTGTCAGGATTTTGTTTTGTTATTAACCCAAACCCCTAAACCCCTTCAAGACCCCCTTTCCCTCACGTCCATGAGTTACTGTTCACAGTTTCACTGCCTCTTTGTGCACATCCATTACCATGTTTGTAAGCCTTCCGATCCTAATAAAAACGGAGCAAGGACCCTTAATCGGGGCTCTTGTCTTTTCCCGGATATTAGCCATCTCTCGCTTTTAATCCTGTGTCCGCTCTCTTGCTGGTCAAGAGAGAACTTTAGACTTAGAGTCTACAGCACTGCACCATGTAGTTTAGAAACAATTTGTAATCTGAATTAATAACAACCGATTATTATAGATTCCAATTCATTTTCAGATCTGTATTTCTAATTTTCATCACTAAACTGGAAATTGAAGGGTTTCTTAATTCTATCATGAGGTACCTGGAGATTTCAATGGTTCCAACCTTTGTTTGGGTCCACAGTTGAAAGGGGAGGAGTTAGACTATATATTTCCTATGCTAATCTCCATTTTTAAATATTACACAATTTTACTAATGCTAATAAGTAATATTTCAAGAGTTTATCAAGAGTTTGAAAAACATTCAAGTGCAGTTATTAAGGGCTGAAACTCTATAACTCATTACTAGTCCCAGATGACTATATTTTACTTCTTTCTCTTTAAATCTGAGAAAGAGGGCGCTGTTCCTCTTCCCTTTCATGTTATGCCCTAGATTCCTCTCACAGTGCTATTGTTATAGTTAAAGAAAAAAGGTGTGTACCAGGGAAGAGATTCATAATAGCCCCAAACAACCCAATGTCTTTCAGTGAGTGAATACAAACTATTTTATACATCTATACCACAGAATATTACTCAGCAGCAAAAGGGAATACTACTGATACACAACTCTGGTGACCCTCTGAGGGAATTATGCTAAGTAAGGAAAAGAAGCCAATCTCATAAAGATACACGCATATCATCACAGAACACCCACAGATGGTTGTGTGATTGGATTGTGGTGACCATCACATGAATCTCTACATGATAAAACTGCCCAGAACTACACACACACACATATACTGACACACTGAAACAAACTTTATAAATGTGTCAAATGCTTTCTGAATTGTTAGCTTCCATCCTACTTAAGAAGGAAAGACAACTCGTTTACCTGCGTTGCAGTTTGATTGGGCTTCTTTTGTCAGATCGATCACAGAATCAAATTTCTTTTTCTCTGTGGCCTGAAAAGTTGTTGTTAAAGAAACAAGATTTTGCCTCCATAACAGAACATATTTTTTTAAAAAATAAATCACAAATTTTAAATTACCATTTAGAAGACAGAACATCCTGTAAGTCCTTAAGGTTTAATTTAATTCTACTATGAGAGAGAAGCTCAGGAAATACTACGTGGTTTTTCACAATATGACTAAGCAGAGTCTGAGTTAATTTGGTAAGTAAGTATGGTTTTGAAATATGTTTATCATTAAGTGTTTGCTTTTATTTTTTTAAATTTTTTCTCTCTCTTAATGTTTATTTTTGACAGAGAAGAGTGCCTGTGCCTGGGTGCATGAGAATAGGAGGGGCAGAGACAGAAGGAGACAGAGGATCTGATGTGGGCTTTGTGCTGACAGCAGAGAGCCTGATCCCAATGCAGGGCTTGAACTCATGAACTGTGAGATCACAACCTGAGCCAAAGTTGAATGTGTAATCGACTGAGCCACTCAAGTGCCCTGTTTGCTTTTTAATGTTTAAGCTAGACTGGACCATGGGTATGCCAACTAGTCAAACATTAATTTCACAGAGAATGAATCTCCCGAAGAATGAATAACAAAACTAAGTCATCCAACATGTAGCAACACTCAAGTTCACAGAACTAACATATTCAAATAAACAGCACTCAGAAACAATATTTATTACCTACCTGAACTTCTGCTTCAGCATTTGGTGGACTGTTAGAATTTCCTGATGTAGGTTTTCCAGTATCTGAAAGACAATTATTAAAATACCAACATTTGACAAGTTTATTAAGCAATTAAATATTTATGAACTTTGTAATATATACAAATGCTAAAACACAATAATGAGGATCCTAATTAACCATTTACCAAGTATGGGTACATAGCCACAAAAAGTAATTCAATGGACATACCTATTCCAAAGACCAAGGAACAGTGCAAACAAACAAAAAATCTAATTTTCGTTCAAAAGATTTTGTTCTCCTGTGACTTTACAACTGTATTAGTGACTCTTTTTTGAAAATCCATCTGTAAATTAATACAGCATTTGAGGAAAGACTTGGAAAGGTGCACGTTTTTTATTCACCGTATTTCTAAACTAGACTACTGGAGAGGGCTGAAGAGCATTCTATCCAGAACCAGTAGAAAATCTCAGATCAATGCTTAATATCCCTTGTAACTATCTGATTCACAATCTTAACAGTCCAAACCCTGGGGGCAATTCAGGAGATACATAAGTGGAGGCAAAGCTTTCTGAAATCAAGATGCAAATACTCTAAAATAGTAAAACGTGAAAAGGAAATGGATAATTTTGAATGAGAACTTCTAGGCCAACAAGAAAGCCATTTTAAAAGAGACGAACTTTAGAAATCTTAGGTTAAAGATTTTTACGTAAGTGAAATAAGACAGAAACTCTAAAGAAAAACAAAGTATTCTCACAGAAACTAAAAGTTAAAACATCAAAGAGGCAAAACAACAGCCAGACTTTAAATCTTAAGTGGACTGTAAGGTAACTTAAAAGACAAAACAAAAAGACAAACAAAAAACAAATCTGTCCCCCCAACACAGGCCAGAGCAAACATGGAAAAATAATGTATACGAAAGGGTAAGTAGTTTTAAAACTCAAAAAGCCATTAAACACAATAAACAAACAAAAGGCCATAAATTGATTAACACGAGTTTAAAAAGAAACCTCAGTTATATCAAGGAATCATTTACTTATTCAGATATTATTAACCACAGACATAAATTAAAACACTTTTGGAACCAGAATTAAAATATTTATTTATTGAAAGATAATATTCAATTCTCTATTAGAAAAAAAACTGATTTGAGGTTTTCTAATTTGATAGATGATATTTTAATCAACTTCAGATACCTGTTGGATTTGATGTAATTGGAGCTGTCAAATTAGGACTTTCCACAGAAATCAACATAACATCATCATTGTTACTAAAATGATAAAGAAAATTAAAAACAAAAATAAACTAAACATGCATTATTAGGCTGAAACATGCAATCAGTGGTTAGAATTCTGACTTAACATTTCATAACTGACACGTTTTAATCTAACAATTGGGGGCAGAGGGAGAGAGATGATAAGTATACAATATACATAAGTGTTCAACACATACAAGTCACTCTAACACGTATACTTGCCTTCATGAAAATTAAAAGTATAACTGAAAGAAACCCATTAAGACACTTAGACTCTTCCAGATACAGGACTATAACAAACAAAGCTATAACAAATTAGTTCTGCCATGATTCTACATTGTATCACTATAGTAGAAATAGTTACCATACATTTACTAAACTAAACAAAGTTGGTAAATGATGCTGATTGCGGTTACAGAATATCCTGAGTCAGAAGATTGTCTTCAGCTCCCATTTGACCCAGACTCCTTTCATGAGTTTATATTATTTTTTAAAGTTTATTTATTTGAGAGAGAGGAAGGAAGAGAGAGAATGGGGGAGGAGGAGAGAGCGAGGGAGAGAGAATCCCAAGCAGGCTCTGGGCTGTCAGCAAAGAGCTCAATCTCATGAACCACGAGCTGAAATCAAGAGTTGGATGCTTAACCCACTGAGCCATCCAGGTGCCCTGAAATAAGAGAGGCCTAAACATAATTCCTTCTTTTCTTTTTTTTAAAGTAGGCTCCACCCTGGGCATGGGTTCCCACAGGCCTTAAACTCACAACCCCTGAGATCAAGACCTGAGCTGAGATCACGAGTCAGACACTCAACCGACTGAGCCACCTAGGTGCCCCTACTACTGAGTTTGATATTTAAAATCAGAATCTTTAAGAAAATCTTGACAAAAATTTCATTAAGCCCATAAAATTGTTAGATGAATTTTCTATGCACAGAGTTACACCACTTTCTAAATTAAAAAAAAAAAAAAATAATGTTTATTTGACAGAGCCAGA